CTCGAATCCATCAAGAAAATTTTTACCCAACTCATCAATAACAGACTTACAAGGATTATTGCCAAAAATGCAATTCTCTCAGAAAACAACTGGGCAGCTTTCCCAGGTAACAGCTCACGTGAACTAATCACTATAATAAATCAAGTGCTCGAAGATGCAAGGGAACAAAACAAGTAATGCTTGATGTTCTTTCAAGACATGAGCAAGGCATATGATACTGTCAACATCGATCGTCTTACAACAGCATTCCATAGAATCAAAATATTACAGAAAATTATCAATATCATCAACAGCTGTTTCTCAAACAGATCCAATAAAGTTATCACATTCTTTGGTCAAACAAATCCCTATGACATAGAAGAAGGTATTGACCAAGGAGACACAATTTCATCACTTCTCTGGCGAATTTACTATGACCCTCTTATCATAAAAATAAGCACTTTACAAGACTACCAATTGATATGTCACAAACCTATACTTGACAACTGCAGCCCAACCAAACTAAATATCTCAGTGGCAGCATACATGGATGATATTACCTTCATTGCACAAAACAAAGAATAGTTGGAAACAATAATGGAAGTCAGTGCATCATTCTATCACTTAAACAACATTATCGTCAACCTACTCAAATCAGAACTCCTCATCATCAATGGTTCCCAAGACAGTATCACCTTTCAAGAACACAAGGTATTGTTCATTTCAAGCATACAAGCAATTAGAGTACTTGGGGTCTGACATAAAAAACGAAGAGAAAAAGCACATTAATGCAAGTTAATTAAAATAAAAGTCACCACCATCTGTAATCAACTAACGAGGAAGGCCATTACAGATAAAATGCATAACTATATCATCAATCATGTCCTATTTCCATCAATAGAATATCTACTGAGTAACCTTGTCCTTACTCAAACAGAAATATCATGGATCGACAAAAGAATATGCAACTTATTCAAGTGAAGAGTACACTTAGCCAGTTCAACCCTCACATCAGTTATACACCTTAGTAATCAATATAACTTAATGGAAATTGAGACCAGATAACAACAAAAATATTGCAGTAACCTGCAAGAACTATATGCTAGTAACAACCTAGCAGGATATGTCATCAAACTGCGCACCCAACAACTACAGTGAACAGCATGCAGAAAGAAGACATTTTCATCAAATGTTCCAAAATCTTTTCAACAAAATCCAATCTAATTCAAGACATACTTTGAAACATACAAGCGAAAGACATCTCAATCCAAAGACAAACAGAAACATTTAGCAACACTGAACACCTCACATATATCAAAGACATAATGTCAGTAGAATGGTACAACAATAATCGAAAGGGACTCAGAGCATACAACATTGTATGGATCGAACAAGTCCTTAACACCTACCATACCAAAGTCCTTAACTGGCATCAAGTAGGAGCCCTGCACAACAAAATAATCAAGAAAAAAGAACCAGTATACTTCGCAATGCTTAGACACACGATACAAAACTACATCAACACATATGCCTCGTACAACAAGTTGAATCCTAAAGCTCAACTTCAACAAGAAACAGCAAATACATTGAAGCAACTGGACAAACAAGAATGCTCCTGGTACATCTCCCAATGAAACTACGATCTACATTTAAGAAGAACAATCAGCAGAAAAGAGAACTACATAAAACTTCGACATTATACTATCACAAGTATCTCACCTGTAACACGATGTTCAAGCTGCGAACTAAATGAAAATATTGACAATCGACTTAACATGTGCTGCTTTAGAACCCGATCAGACCAAGCCATCCAAGTCCCAGTCATCAATACTACAAAGACAAATACAGGCAACAATAACAAACCTTGTCACAGACTCCAAGTCTCACCAAACAGTATACAACGATGGATTGTAGAGCCAAACTCAGCCTTCAATATCATCGAAATTGATTCTACTCCACAAAACTTGAAGAATCTGACCAAAGTGGTGTCATTACACGAATCTATCTTGAATAAGCTCACCCAAATTTACAAACATCTCAAGAGCTCAAAAACAACAAATATAACAATTGATGGTGTTTTAAAAACTAACAACCCTAATACTATGAGCATGGGCATAATCTTTTCAGACAACCCCTCTCCCCTAAACGAAGCAAGTATTCATATAACAGGACAGAGCTCAGCCTTTCGCGCAGAAATAATAGTTGCAACCATTGCCATTAGTACCCTACTATTTGGTACAGCAGCTACCATTCACACTGACTCACAAAAACTCATTACTAAACTTGAAAAAGCAAAAGGAGGAGGAATTAAGGATGTCAGCGAAATCTGACTAATCTACAATTTAGCTATCATAATTGACAAGAGACACACTCAGATCAAGTAGATCAAAATAGACAAAAACGGAAATAACAATACAGAGCTGACACAAATGGATAAGCTTGCGAAAGAAAGTCTAAAACACAACACACACAAGGGCACCTTACTACAAGACTGTCTTACATAGAACATCGTCTTCTTCAACTTCAAAAAGAATACAGAAATCTCAAATACAATCCAAAAATTAATCAAATTCATAAGATAAGCAAAGCTCACATACCAATGGATTACTCTGGACAGAAACAAAGATCTAAGCACCTCACTCAAAAGAGATATAGATTGGCAAAACTCGACTAAATACTTACACTCCACCAAATTTACAGGTACACACACCAATACAATGAACCATTGCCACAGAAAATTTGCGATCAAACTATGGAATATGGAACTCCGCACCATGGACAAACTCCATACCAGATATCCAGATATATATAAATTATCGAAATGCTTTGCCTGCAACCATATCGAGAACAACATGCATGTCTTCAAATGCAAACATCATGGCATAAATATTCAAGAATTAATAACATCCACTATATATGCAGAAGCCATTGCAAGAACAATCAAAGGAAACTCACACCGAATCAAAAAAGAAACACAAGATCACTTGAAAGATAACCAACTTTGGGACATAATAATTCAAGGTGGCATTAGCTGAAAAATTATTAAATACCTACAACAATTCATTCCAGGGAAAGCAATAACAGAGGTCACACGTAGCATTATTAACAATATCAGATTCATCACATATAACCAAAAAGAAGAAAAATGACAACAACATATGCAAGCAAAGAAGTTTCAACAAGATACACACTGACACAAAGGCAAAAAACCTGTTGCCAACAATCATAGAAGAAATCATCAAAGGAACCTCAACCATTTTCACCATCATCACCGAACACACTAATGGTGCCTAGGTATGTTAGTTCCTAATATAGGTACAACAAGCCACAAGGGGTAAGAAAACTGGACCCACCGCCAACAGCAGTGGATGCCTTTTACCAATTGGTTTTATTGTTCTGCTCTACATAGAAAAATGTTTGTAAAATCTCTTTATAAATTCAGTACATGTAATGCACACCATCAATAAAATAGGCAAGTTAAGTGTTTTTTTAAAAAAAAAAAAAAAAAAAAATTAATTTATATTTATAGAAATAAAAAAAAAAATTATTACAAGCAAGCAAGGCAAAATTTTTTAAACAATTGTATACACGGTACTTTAACATAAAAAATTTTTTTCATCATTGCAAGTATCAAATAAATTTAGATGCAACGACAAAAATAGTTTATCCAATAAGAAATTTTTCGGATTCTCATTCGCAACCATTAGATATTCTCTAAATTAGTAGTAGATGGACAGTTGTGAATTCCCCATTATTCTTATATACAGTATTTTCGAAGGCGGACAGGGATTTTTCGGATCCTATGATCGCGATCCTATAATTTACATTATTAAAAATGGGGATCGAAAAACTTATGCTTGGTATTTTGGTTGCTTTTAAAAATGATTATCCATATAGGGATGCAGTTGTTTATGTGAAGGACGTTAAGAATGGGGCAAAGGTACGTACCACCATTATTAAATAATTAATTACATGCTTTGGTTATTTATTAAATAAAGTCGAAATTGGTGAAGCTTGTGATCCAGCAATTTAATTGGACGTATTGGCCCCTTCTACGACCATTGTGCAGCTGCTAGTCTTCATGAAACCGCTTGGCATCCTTAACCCGAGTTGATCTTTCATTCGAGTCATGAAGAACGAATTTTCTGTTATCATCCTTTTTAAAGGAGGAATTATTAAGAAATTTTTATTACTTTACTTTAATGTTCTAGTTAAAATACGCTTTAATACAGTGCATCACCGGAAATGAATAATACCGTCGCCTGTTATTATAGAGTTAGTTGTAAATAAACAATGCGCGCAATACTACTCGGGCATTCATGCACACTTATATTCTGGTGTGAATTATATAATCTCTCTTTTTTTTTTTTTTCAAGAATTGTTTAATCGAAATATCGCGACAATTCAACCTTCTCTTCAGAATTAACAGAATGCCAAATTTTCTTTTACCATTTGTTTTGCTGTTCACTCTCCTGAAAGTTCTAGCCGCACCTTATTCACATTCGATATCTCATATTACTTCGGATGGCTCCGTCATAATTAATTCACAGAACTTCCAGTACATCCGTTCTCCACCACCGCCATCATTTTACACGAATGAGGATGCTAACCATGGCGATTATGGAATCGAGGAAGATGAATATGGAAGCGGGAATGAGAGTGAATACGTGAATGATGAGGACGAAGATGAGAATGAATTTTTCTAATCTTTTCACGAGGCGATCCGGTTTTATATCAATAGAAAGAAGAAGGAGAAGAAAAAAAGGAACTTTTATTTCATTTAATTATTAACACATCTGTCTTGATAATATTTTTTTCAATATTTGTACTGTATATTCCGTTGCTTTTATTTTAGTATTTTGGGTAAGAGTAGATTGACAGCCTTCAAGTAAAATATAAAACTGTTGTTTACAAAAGCGAATGCACTTATAGGAATTTTTTGCATGGAAGACATTAAAGAATTACAAAAAATCATCTGAGAGATTATTTTTTTTAAAAAAAAAATATATCGAAACTTGCTCCTAAATTCCGAGCCTAGACCATCCCAGAGGTGCCGCACAGGGTCTAACCGGGTTCTTAATTCTGATATTCCCAATATCAAATTCCGTGCCGAATCCTCCGCAAAATTGCTCAGTCCAAATGGGCGCCTCGTCGCAACAAATAAACGGCGTGTCGTCACTAATGGGAAGAGTGTTGTCACAAATGAGAGGCATATTATCACAGATGTCATCAATTATAATGGGTTCTTCCTCGATTATGATAGGTTCCTCGTCAATTATAATGGGAACCTCGTCAAGAATGACAGGCGTCCCGCCACAAAAGGAAGGTTCGTTAAACATTGGAACTTCTTCACAGAAAATCGGTGGCGTCTCATCACAGCACACGGGTTGATGGCAGCAGCAATCCGTAATAAAATCGTTCGATCGTTCAAAAATTTGGTCGTCGCGTTTTTCTTGGTCCTCCCGTTTTTCACATTTCTCCAGTGGTTCTTCCCCGCGTTTATCAGAGAATTCTAAATAATTCTCCTGATCACGTCTCGCAAAGTCCCACATCTCGCTCTCGTCGGATGAAAGGGGGTCGCATTCTGCGATGGGCTCAGCATCAGGAGAACGAGAATATAATAAGAGATTGTGATCATCGGGCGTGGTGGCAGGACAACAAATACTTGAAGAGGTTCGTGAGGCCAAAAAAGTTATGAAAACAATGAAAATTATAATCACAGAACGTTGGAGACAAAAAGGCTTATTGGACATCTTTTTGAGGATTCTCGTGTTTATCTCCTTTTACAACTTTACGATTATGCGGAAAACCCTCGATAAATAGTGCAAATGGGTTACAAGATAAAAAGAAAAGAAATCAATTTTATTTGTTTCTTTGACCTGACGAAGTGGGAAATAATTGTTTTTTTTTTCGTCAAAAAGTATTTTTGGCGAGTGCATGCAATCAACCAATGCATCAATTAATCTTGCAAAATTTTAACCGTTTGATAAAAATTAAAGCGCATATTTTTTTTTTTAACAAGCGTTAACGCATACGCGAAACAAAGCATCATCAGTATCAGTGAGTGTTCATTTGCAAGGTCCAATGCATTGAAGATATGTGCACGAATATTCAAGATTGATTTAATCATTAGATCAATTCAACATTTCACCTATTCCCGTGGAAAAGTTTTTAAATTTTCTCTTTAATCGGGAAAACAAGGTCTTTCCAATTCTTCATTGAGAAAAAAGAAAAAAAAAAAGAAAAAAAAATGAAATCTGATTTATCGAGTCAAAATCGTTTCAAAGTTTTCCTAATCTTGGTGACATTAATGGCCTTGACTACCTGTTGCGCAGGAGACTCTTATCCTCGTACGTTCAGGTCTTTATTAGACTCGAGAGGTACATTGTCCAAGAGACTCATTGGGAAGCCGGACGATTTCTCCCCACGCTCTGTCTTGCCTAACGATCTGGGTGCGAATAAATTAGCGCGACGCTCTCAGATTTCATGTGTCGGCCGTGATAATTTAAAATTCAAACGGGACACTTTAAGGGAAAATGTGGGACGAGGTATTTCAAAGATAAATAACGCTAAGAGAGATAAGTTATGGAGAGGAATCACGTGCCTCGGTAAAACACGGCGGAGCGACACTTTCCCACGTGACAATATTCGACGTGGGATAGTTCATTCTGATAACATGCGAAAACGACAATTTGGTGATGGATTTGTTGACGGGGGATTCGGTGACGGAGGATTTGTCGATGGAGGATTCGGTGACGGGGGATTTATCGATGGAGGATTCGGTGACGGGGGATTTATCGATGGAGGATTCGGTGACGGAGGGTTTGGTGATGGCGGATTCGGTGACGGGGGGTTTGGTGATGGCGGATTTATGGATGGTGATTTTATTGATGGAGGATTCGGTGGATTTACTGATGAAATTGGTGAAACTGAAGAAGCCGGTATGGTTGGTGGATTTTTCTGAATAGAATAATAATTCAATATTCAATTTCTTCGAACTATTTAGTTACGTGGCATGTAGATTGAGAGTTTACTATCGATATATACGTATATACTGTAAGATTTTCATGATCACTGCTTTAAACAGGAACATGCGAAACGATTGAAATGCAGTCAACATTATCATGCTTTATCACGCTATTCCTTCAATCTTTAGAATTGCAAATAAATAAGTATCATTACGTTATCTACCCTGTGATCACTTAATTATGTTGAAAAGAGGGCGCGATTAAAATCAGATGTTCTGGTGTTTGCCATAATTGGGTTGAACTTATACTGATTCAATACTTACGACAGGAATCTCGCTGTAACAATACTTTAACGCAACGATCGGACCTTTAAGACAAAAGTCTTTTCAAATTGCAGATGAGATATCATATCACCGAGATTTTAATTTGGTATTTGTTAAAAGAATCTTCAGCTGCGGTGAGTAAACGAAAGGAAATAAAGATCCGACGTTTTATTGAAGGGTGGTAGGAATGCAGGAATTTATTATTATTATTATTTTATTTATTATTATTAATTTTTTTATTTTTTATTTTTATTTTTATTTTTTTTTTAAAAAAAAAAGGGACGAATTTGTCATCACCCAAAAATCGTAAACATCTTTAATTTATTACCTTATCCGGGGATGCAAATCACGCGCCGGATGATAAGGATCAACAAAATTTCGCTAATTACGTACGTGGGTTATCTGCATCAAACTCGGGTACTCATGCAAATATACCTGCTAAAAAAAAAAAAAAAAAAAAAAAAAGGACAAAAAAGACATAAAGAGTACATACGGTTCTACATAAGAAATAGATTACACCTAAATGGCTATTACCTGACTCAATCTTAATTCATAAAATCACGGTTACCCGACTCTTGCACTCAGATTGGTTCGATGGGGATTCTACAATTACTGAATTTGCCATTGAATACCAGCGAAAAAGTTCAGTAACTCGTTTTATTTTATACGGCCAAGACTCTGCGATTAATAAATGCGAAACCTTGATTTTCGGCCTTCCCCCTCATCAATGTGCAGTTTAGAACCGGGAAGAAAAGAATTAACCTGAATTGCTGATTATTTGTTCCCAAATGGTAGATCTAATGATAATAACAGGCGTAAATATACAGTATGTGTATAATTTTTTTTTTTTTTTTTTAAAAAAAAAAATTAAAAAAAGCTCTATTACAGCATGATTACATCACATCGCGCTAAAGTATAAGAATGTGGTTCATAATAAATTTTCTATTTACCTATATACCCTTCCATCCCAGTTAATATCATCTTCGTACTTCGCTCCCGAGTAAAAATTGTCATCTTCGAATATAATAATATAATATCAATTATATTAATAATTGTCTAATTATCATAATCATAATGAGCTCTGAGTATCTACAACGCCCTTTGGGAACTTTGCATCATCTATGTCTCAGTGTAAGCGATTACCAAAAGAGCACCGAATTTTATGATTCTTTGCTCACTAAACTTGGTCAGAATTTCAATTTAAAAATGCCTTCGCATGACATATGGGCAATAAATAAACAGGCAAAACCTTCTTTAATAAAACAGGCTATACATCATTGGTTAAAAAGGAGTATTACACATCTTGGTTTAATCCGAACGTGGGGCAAATTTCAATCGCACCCATCAAGCCTGAATTCAAAGGTGAGAAGCACAAAAGGTATTCGGTCGGATTTCGCTTGGCATTTAATGCCACTTGTCGAGTAGAAATCGATGATTTTCATGATTTCCTTGTTGAAAAAAACTATACGGTCCTGAATGCCCCCAAGGAATATAGCTATGTTCCTGGTTATTATGCTGGTGAGAATTTTGCACACTCCCTTGTCACGTTATATTCACGTGACCACGTCATTCCCAATAATATTTTTTGGTGCAAAATATAGTCTCGTGGGAGGATCCGGACGGACTGGAACTTGAATTATGTTATGTTCCGATTTCAAAGAACGTCATATCCGAGGGAAAGAGACTTGATGATTCTACCAAGGAAGAAGAAAATGGCAATAAACGGCAGAAGGTAGAATAAAACAAGAAAAGGCATCTCGATTTTCGACTGTAGCACTTCGAATGATGAGGTATCATTCTTTCTTTCGTGTCGATATTGATACGCCAAATGTTTACCGAGACCTTGATACCAGATTTGCTGATCGAATTCACCTAAAGTTTTACTTTCCTTTTTAACCTTCTTCCAACTTAAATTTTACTGACTTTTGATCTTAAAGGTTAATTTTGCCAATTCCGAGCGAATTTTTGTTAGTCATAATCCTTGTAACTGTTCAAAAACCACCTATTAATAAATAAAAGAATCAAGAATTCCAAAGTCAAATGGTGACCGTGTGGCTATGCGCTCTTTCTGTCGCGCATTAAGACGTAAAATTCCCATCAAGTTGGTGCTTTCGAATACATAATCTAAGAATAAATGATATACTGTAAATGGTTGGATAGAATATTTGTTTATGGAACCCTGACATCTTGTTCTACCGTGAAAAACTTTTCTCGAGATTCTCGGGTCGGGTCCTTCAAGGGACGTAGTTAAATCACGTGAATAATAATTAACCCTGCACATTAAATTCACGGATGAATAACCTTCGCAGAAAAAACGAGTGCCTGTTGTTGAAGAATTGCATGATTTCGATAAATTATTTAAAATTAATATTAAGAACTAAAAGATATACAGTATATATTATCAATCGAAAAACATTTATTTCTTTCTAATTAATATTTTAAGGATCTACGGTTCAATTTTTTCAGTGATCCATCAATGAACTACAGTGGTGGCAATAAATAATGACAATTTCATTTTTTTTAGAAATCACGCCACCCGATCTTTTTTTTTGTCATGTCTATACCAAATTTAGTTAGGAATATGTTCGTTAAGCCTTTTAGAATAAAAAAAAAAAGTTTTTAGTGTCACCCGTGTAACACATGACTTTGTTTGCGGAACGTCGTCTCCTCATTAAGAGGCTTTGGGATCGCGGACATAGAGAAGTCAGGAAGCTCAGAAAACTCACCGGATTTCCCAGTAAAACACTTTATAGATGGACCGCCCAGCTTGCTAGTACTGGAGAATTGAGACAGGGCAAGCATCCTGGCCATCCTCGTCTTCTTAGCCTTGCACAAAGAAAGTACTTTGGAAAGATCGCCATAGAAAATAGAACCACGACAAGTAAAGAACTAGCTGAGACACTCAACAACACTTACCAAGGCCTTAATATTTTACCACGGACAGTTCGTGATAACCTTCAGAAACTTGGATATAAGGTGTGCATTCCCCGTAAAGTTCCCCTTCTTAGTGATGCAGCTATGGAACGTTGACTTACCTGGGCACAAAAACATCAAAATAAATGATGGAATAGAATGATTTTTTCTGATAAAGCCACCTCCCAAATGTTTTGCAATACGACACAGGTTCGTTATAAAACTGGAGAGCCATTTCCATTTCGAGGGGTTGTAAAACATCTGTTTAAAGTTCATGTGTGGGCTTCATTTTGCAGTAAGGGAATTATTGGCTTCCATACTTTCACAGAAAACATGAATGGCAAACTCTATCACGAAATAATCACCCAAAATTTATTTGAACAAGCCAATAGGGTTCTAGGTCTCAGATGGGTATTTCAGCAAGACAACGATCCTAAGCATCGTGCAAAGCTTACCATTGATTTGTTGCAGGAATGATGTCCGCATGTACTCGATTGGCCATCTTCATCCACAGATCTCAATTCAATCGAGAATCTGTGGACCTTATTAAAAAAAAAAGTCGAAAAAAGTGTTAATTTTGAGATTTATAAAAAAAAAATGGTTTCGCAAAGTGATTTTACAAGTTTAATAGAAGAGGAATGGAATAAGATCGACGTAGAGTTATGTCGCAAATTAGTACAATCAATGTCTAAGAGAATAAAATTAGTAATAGACAATAAGGGAGGTGAGACAAAATATTAAAAAAAATAAATAATAGATTCTAAGCTATATATATCTAAAATTTTATAATCTAAAAATAAAAATTGATTAAAGTTTATTATATTACTTTGATTGTCATTATTTATTGCCACCACTGTATATACAGATTAATGATAACTTATTACAGCTAACCTAATTAAACCTATTATTACTCTTAAAATGGGTATATCTGACTAGTGGTCAGATAATTAATATACAATCATAAATAATAATGTTAAGCTAGTTAGTATAGACTTATTTAACTTTATTAATTCATTAAACTAGTTCTTTTTTGTATATACCTGATGAGATATGAACACTCTCTAATATTCTCAGATATTATTTACTCAAATCTCAGAAGAAGATATATTACCTTTTTTGTTATCACTTGTGATATTGAATCAGTTCCTATTAATTGGTTTTTAATTAAATGAAATACCAGATTGAGATATCCTAAGCTAGAAGAATAGGGTTTTGGAGATTGTCAGAACAGAGTGGTCTTGGGATGTTTTGTAGAAGGTTAAATCAGAAATATTTCTTCATATAATACTTCTAGTAGTATGATCTTAAATCTTAGCCCTGATCAATGAAAAGCCAAAAATCTTATCTTTATATAGTTTAACTTATTTTAGACTGGTTCTAAATGATTGAATATAACTTTTTATAAAATAACCAGTAAACCTAATTAAAAATATAATTTCAATTTTTTTGGTTTTTAAGTAATATTGAACTATAGATATTATAATTGTGACTTGAGAACACTACTACTATGCTATTTATCTATAGATCTTTTATTATTATTTTTTAATTTTCTATTAAATTAGTTATATATACTTTATTAAATAATTTTTTTTTTAATCACCAGCTCCACCTTTACTTTATTGGATATAGTTTTTCAATATAGATATAGTTCATATTAAAAATATAATTATAAATCTATAAAACTAACAATATAAATATATTGATCATCCTCGGATATATTGTTGTCTTTAAAATGAGAACTAGTAAAGATCATTAGTGCTAAAAAAATTTTGAGAAAGAGGAAGAGGAAGGTCAGAAAATAAATAAGTGTATAGAATGGTTAATCTATATATACAATTCCTTGCTATGTGACTTATATAGAGAAAAAAAATTTTTATTTAGTATATTTATTAAAACTTCTCAAGTAGTATCAAATATCTATTCATATATAATAGTGAAAATATCAGTATATGATTTAATTGTATTTCAGATTCCCCAATAATTTTTGTACAATATTAGTTGTATTTCAGGTATCTTTATTTAGGTTTTTGAAAAATGTAGAAATCTTAGCCATTGCCTTTAGTAGCTGATTTATGCTCTCTTACTAAAGCTTTTAAAACATCAATGTGAATTATATATAGAAATAAGATACTAATGCTTAATAGAAAGGGGGAAGTTTTTAGGATAATCTATTGAGTTACTTTCTTAGAAGGTATAGGAAAAGGGAAGATAAATTCAATCTCATTTAAAAATGAAAAAAGGTTAGGGTAGAAACATATATATTGATATCAGTAGGTCAATCCACAAACTATTTTCTTTGATCCTTGTCATTGAATAACAGTGCAGTAAAGATTACTATTTATATACTTTATTCTCTGTGTCCTAAAAGTTGAAACAAAAAATAGATAAGAGAACCAATGCCCTATCTTTAAATTTTTACCTATTTAATGAAGCTAAAGGGAAATTTATCTAGTAACTAGAGATAGATAACTATCTCTCCAAAAACTAGACACAGTATCTTGTAATTTTTACTATAGTTGGATAGACTCTTTTTGAAGATGGTCAATAACTTGTGTGATAATATATCCTATATTCATCCACACCAGACCCATTAACTTATAATGAATTCCAGGCTCTTATAGAGCTGAGAAAATGCATTTGAAACATGTAAGATGATCAATAGAGACTTGTTTATATTTTTTTACTGATGTGTATTCTTTTATTCAATTATTGTGCAAAAAACTTTATGCTACTCAAAATTCAGGGTCCAACTGAGGTAGGCAAATTTCTTCAAAAAAAATCAAGAATAAGTACTATTAGAGTTTTTACTATAACAAGAGAGTAGGTAGATATGTTCTAAATAGTTTCTTATCATAACACAGTTTTGTAGTGTTTCTCTACTAAGTGGAAGGACCAAAGTACTTCAGTTTTTCTTTTTTTCAGAACTTTTTTACCATCGGTAAGAAAGGTGTTTCATGGCTTAAATTAATGAAAGTCATGTTTTTGTATGAAAAGAAATATTTATAAGAAGAAGAGAAGTATGATAGTAACTTTTGAGCTTCTTCTCAAGTTGGTTTAAGGAAAGTGTTAAGGCTTTTTTAGCAAAAAAGTATAATAACTTCTTGTGAACATTTTTTTTGTGTATAGTCAGAGAATCAGCAAAAAAAGTTTACTTTATTAAATAAATAAGCTATATATATATTATACATTGCTAAAGTTAAAACTCCAACTAATTCAATTATTTTAATTAATTTAACTTTAAATATAATTTTGAAAATAATTTATTGTTTTATTAATAGTTTAGGTAAAAACTTTTCTAACTATTAACTTTATTATCTATAAATCATTATTATAAACTATTTAATAGTAATTAAAATCTAATTATTTCATTTTATATTTTATTCTTTTTATTAAAATTTTCTTTAAATTTTTATTTTTTATTTTATTTTTTTATTTTATTGCTTTGATTATTATAGCTTTAGTTTTCTTAACTAATAAGTTTAATAGTCTTCTTATCTTATCTTTTTACTAATCTTTTATTCTATTTTTTTTTTTAAACCCATGGTCAAGCCAGTATAGTGTGTTTATTAATCTTGAAGAAAATTGATAAAAATACATTGGATATTTATATCATGGCTAAACTAAATCTCATGCTAATTCACTTGTTAATAGCTATCAATTTTCAAATGAGCTTAAGCCTCTAAGTATGATCTTGGAGACAATATTTTTTGCTCTGGAATAAGTTTTGAGTAAATACCCTCCTAACTTATCTATTATTGCCAGCAGGTCGTCACTGTCTATTATTCTCTAAGGAACTGATTTCGAGAAATTACAATATAGGAAAGAGAA